TGGTATAAAAGTGCTTCGTTAATCGTTCTAACGCTCGAAGTGGAGTCGAAAGAGATGAGTTTTCAGTTTGCGCCGGAAGATGTGCAAGCTATCTGCCGTCCTGATGTCAATGGGGAGCTCATTCCACCATCTTGGAGCCAGGATAGCAAACCCACGTGTTTTCGCCGATGGGAACTTGGGTCCCCCTCGCAGCGAGGGCGCAACGAGTCGTTTGGCTGATGCAGAGCGTAGTGCACGCGCTGGGGTGTACGGTTTAACCATGTCCTGGATGTAGGAAGGGCCAGATCCATTCGCAGCACGGTAAGCAAGTACCAGTGTCTTGAAGTGGATTCTAGCAGTTACCGGAAGCCAGTGAAGGGAGCGGAGGAGCGGAGTGGTGTGGGAGAATTTAGGAAGGTTGAAAACCAGACAAGCCGCTGCATTCTGGATGAGCTGCAGAGGTCGGATGGCACATGCAGGTAGACCAGCCAGGAGGGAGTTGCAGTAGTCTAGGCGTGAGATGACGAGAGCCTGGACCAGAACCTGAGTCGCTTTCTGAGTCAGCTGGGGACGTATCTTCCTGATGTTGTAAAGCGTGTATCTGCAGCAGCGGGTTGTAGCAGCGATGTTTGCAGTGAAGGACAGGTTGTTATCTAGGGTCACACCCAGATTCCTTGCAGTCTGAGTCGGGGAAACAACTGAGGTGCCGATGTTGATTGTCAGGTCAAGAGTTGGACAATCTTTTCCCGGGAGGAAGAGCAGCTCAGTCTTGTCAAGGTTGAGCTTGAGGTGGTGAGCAGACATCCACTGAGAGATGTCAGCTAGACAAGCAGAGATGCGTGCAACGACCTGGGTCTCTGAGCGGGGAAAGGACAGAATTAATTGGGTGTCGTCAGCGTAGCAGTGGTAAGAAAAACCATGCGGGCTAATGACTGATCCGAGCGAGTTTGTGTACAAGGAGAAGAGGAGGGGACCAAGAACAGAGCCCTGAGGGACCCCCGTAGTTAATTGACAAGGGTCGGACTCAGACCCTCTCCAAGTCACCCTGTAGGTACGGTCTTTCAGGTATGAGGTGAGGAGGGAAAGTGCAGAGCCAGAAACTCCAAGTTTTTGGAGAGTGCGAAGGAGGATCTGATGATTCACCGTGTCGAATGCAGCAGACAGGTCCAACAGGATGATGACAGAGGAGAGGGATGCAGTTTTGGCAGTGTGCAGTTCCTCCGTGACAGCAATGAGAGCAGTTTCTGTGGAGTGACCTGCCTTGAAACCAGACTGGTGCGGATCCAGAAGGTTGTTCTGATTGAGATAACAGGAGAGTTGTTTAAAGACAGCGCGTTCAAGTGATTTAGACAGGAACGGGAGGAGAGAGACAGGCCTGTAGTTTATAACATCAGACGGGTTGAGAGTGGGTTTTCTTTAGGAGAGGGTTTACTCTTGCCTCCTTGAGACTGTTTGGAAAGTGACCAGAAGTTAGAGAAGTGTTGATGAAATGGGTGAGAAACGGTAGAATATCAGGAGCGATAGTCTGAAGGAGGTTTGAAGGGATAGGGTCCAGAGGACAGGTGGTAGGGCGGGCAGAGGTAATGAGGGTAAGAACCTCACTTGGAGAGAGAGGGGAAAAGGAGGTTAGTGTGTTGGTGGAAGGAAGGTCTGGTGACCCAGCGGTGAGTAAAGGTGAGTCAGAAAAAGAAGAGCGAATATCATTAACCTTTTTTTCAAAGTGGGTAACAAAGTCGCTTGACAGAAGTGAGGAGGGGGGAGGAGCTTTTGGAGGGTCCAAGAGGGTGGAGAAGATGGAAAATAGTTTTTTAGGATTGGAATAGGAAGATTGGATCTTATCTTGAAAGAAAGTGCTTTTTGCCTGAGAGATCGAAGCAGAGAAAGAGGAGAGGAGAGCTTGATAGGTTAGGAGGTCGTCACGGTGTTTGGATTTCCACCATTTCCGCTCTGCTGCCCTAAGGACGGTTCTATTAGCACGCAGTGCATCATTTAGCCAGGGAGCCGGAGGGGACTGACGAGCCTGCCGAGATGTCAGAGGACAGAGCGAGTCCAGAGTGGATGAGAGAGTAGAGAGGAGAGTTTCTGCAGCAGAGTTTGGAGGCAGTAGTTGGAACGAATCAGAGGAAGGGAGGGCTGAGAGCACCGACGAGGCAAAGGTAGAGGGAGAGAGGGAGCGAAGGTTACGGCGGACAAGTGTAGGATGGGAAGAGATTAGTTTGTTATGTTTGGAAAGGGATAGAGAGAATGAAATGAAGAAGTGATCGGATGTGTGGAGCGGGTTTACAGAGAGGTTAGAAGTAGCGCAGTTCCTTGAGAATATGAGATCAAGGACATTGCCAGCTTTATGAGTTTCTTCACAAGCTGTCGCTCATAAACATTTAGCGCTGAGTTTAAACTTCCTAAAGTCTCATCTCCTCCTACCCTGTCCTCTTCCATCATTTTATTTTTTAGGAACCTCAGGTCTGCACAAACCTTTTTCTTCTCTCTCTGTTTGATTCCACTGAGAATCAATCTCTCAGTATGTTCCCATTGTTCGCGGAAGCTTCCGGGAATTGGAACGCCTAAATCACTCTTTTCACATTCTCCTTTCATTATGACTTCGTATCTATTTATCTGACTAAATTACTTGTATTTATTAATACACTGGACAAATCTTGTCGTCCTCTATTCTATTCTGAATTCAGAGTTCCAATCCCAGAATATTGTTACACCCTGTTCGCCACCAGAGGGCAGCAGCTGACCACAAATGAGCTTCCTCTGTCTCCTGTCTCTACTGCTATGCTCTATTTTCTCAATTATTACACAGATTCGACGTAAAAAGATCACACAGAGTTTATTCCCTTATACATTCTGTCCGGCTTTTTTGTGCGATGTATTATTTCAACAGATAATTCTGGTTTTTGACGGTGCTTCGACACCCCTATATAGAGATGCGACCGTCACACGGAGATTAATCCCAAACCAAAAAAATCCTTTATCGTCACGTTTAGCCGTTCAGATCAACCCCACAGCAAGAGTTTGCGAGATCCGGTCATTTCAAATTGATTTTGAAAGTTGCGTATCTCCTCTTGAATACCCACATATAATATTGACTTCCGCTTTTTTCAGCCTATAGTCTACAGAATTTTCCCAGCGAGTCAGCCGTGCCGGACTAAACTACCTCACGCTCTCGCTGGTTCACTTTTCTTTTTTTTTAGTGAATTAAGGTACGGGACTTATAGCTATTTACCCGACTCTTACAAACACTCAGTGCCTTAGGTACAGGACTGCATACCTGACTAAGCACTTTCTTAAATATAACTCGGTGCCTTAGGTCCGGACTGTTCTACCTGACTCTAAGCCCCTTCTTACTTTAGTGAGTTTAAGGTACTGGACTCTAATACCAGACTCTTTACCAACACTTAGTGCCTTAGGTACAGGACTGATCTACCTGACTCTACAAACACTTTTTACAGTATTGTATTTTTTACCATGACTAAGGACACTGAGAACGCCGCTGACAACTCTAAAAAATGTGTAGTATAGCCAATCACAGACTTTGACAATCAACAGGTGTCTGCTCACCTTTGTATCTGGACGTCCTGGTTTAGTTGTCAACGGTGTGCAGGTGTCCTCCCCTGGACTGAAATGTGTCCGCTGGCTGTCGGTGGTCCTTCTAGAGACCAGCACTCATCACGTCGGGGTCACCAGATTGTAGGAGCAAACACAGTAGTGGTGGCTTAAAGCCCACCTCTGCTCCGCGCCGTCCGTTAGATGAGCCTGGTCAGATTGATAAAAGAGGGAGTTCAACACACCGGCATAAAAGTTATAACAATAATCTGATTTTAATGGTAAAAAACACCAATACAAGTTTACAGAGTACTCCGGACTCCCAGTTCTACTGCTGTGCGATACAGGTATCGGGACCAGCCAGTCAGAAACAGGGGGCATTTTACATGACTACACAACAGTATATATGGATATATTTTTGAGGTGGACAGCCACTTCTTATCTTCCACCGGACCCAACTCCTTTAATTTCCCAGGGAAGGTTTCACACAAACTATTCTTTATAACAATCAAACATTGTACACAGATATATTGGTGCTTCGGATTATTCCCAGCAAGGACCTTGGAAAAAGAACATGTGTGTGTGTTAGTGAGGGAAAGTGTATGTGTGTGTGTGTGCATGCTGATAAGCAGAGGCATATGTGTGTGTGTTGCTGATATCTGGGTTAAGGAGTTTATGTGTGTGTGCTGCATGAAGACAGGAGGAGGTGTATGTGTGTGTGTCAGGGTCTCTGGGTAATGGAGTGTAAGTAAGAAGGTTTAGATATATAGGATTACTTTAAACAGTCCCAAATAATACATGTTCACTTCAATACAGTTCAAGATAATACCTGTTTACTTTAATACAGTTTAGAACAATATCTGGGTGCTTTAGTATCTGCAGCAACGGGTTGTAGCAGCGATGTTTGCAGTGAAGGACAGGTTGTTATCTAGGGTCACACCCAGATTCCTTGCAGTCTGAGTCGGGGAAACAACTGAGGTGCCAATGTTGATTGTTAGGTCAAGAGTGGGACAATCTTTTCCCGGAAGGAAAAGCAGCTCAGTCTTGTCAAATGTATATTCTTCAGAAACAAGTAGCCCTCCAGAGAGTTCGTTATCATTCACTCAGTCTGGTTGTCAGGTTGGTGACCCCTGCAGTACAATGATAGTGACAGTGAAGACAACAGCCCCTAATATACCCTGATTTGGTAGCAGCAGTCTGTGTTCACATGGTGCGTTCAGGTACAGAGTTGACTTTAGGTCAGCTACAGACAACTCCGAAAAACACAAAGACGCCGCACTATGTAGAGTTCACATGTATATATTTCAAATCAGTCCAAAAGTGACAAGGAGTCAACAGAGTTAAATTTAAAAAATGCAATAATTTTAAGTTTGTATAACAGATGTGTATGGAAGTAAGGAAGTGGAATCCAGTGAACTAAAAACATTTGTCATTTGACACTGAACTGTGTGTTTTTTGTTGTCTCCCACTAGAGCTACAAGCTAGCTGTGGAACTGAAACCAGATCAGTCCCAGGCCTGGATGAACATGGGGGGGATTCAGCACATCAAGGTAGCAAGTCAAAACACATTCATGCTGTTTCATACTGTGAAGAATGAAGAACATTTTCTAAAAATGTCTCGGCTGACAAGATGAAGGTTATTCATAATCTCTGTATGTAACGCAGCAAGGATCGTCCAGTGTATCCTAAGATAAATATAAAACAATATAATGGAAGCATTGAAGCTTCTTTCCTTTAATCTAGAGAATTTGAACAGATCTTATCATGGCTGCCATTTAAATACTTTTTGCTCCTAAATCCATAAATACTAAAGGAAAACATTTTTTGTAGGAGGGGGAATATGGCATCAGATGTGTATCTATTTATATATTGCTTTATCTAAATATTATTCATAAACATTCCTAGTATTTTTGTGATTTGGATCGATCAGGTGCTAATAAGCCATAATAACAGTAACAGTTTTAAAAACGTAAAAAATATGTGCTTTAGTACTACACTGAACAAAAATATAAATGCAACACTTTTGTTTTTGCTCCCAATTTTCATGAGATGAACTCAAAGATCTAAAACATTTTCTATATGTTAGGATCTGTCTGTGTTGGTGTTTTTCTTGTCTTTTTCTATCTTTGGGTTTCCTGTTTTATTTTGTAAAGTGTTCACCCCCGTTTCCTGCCTGTTTGCTTTCTGTCTGTTTCCCTCCCTGATTACCCGATTGTGTTCACCTGGTGCCTCTGTGTTTTCTCCTCCCTCCTCACCTGTCTCGTGTTTATGTGATTAGTCCTGGGTGTATTTAAGTTCTGGGTTTTCTGTCTCTCTTTGTCGGGTTGTCTTGTGTAATGACCAGTTCATCGGTGAGTGTTCCGTTCTGTCTCTGTTTATGGTATATTTGTAGCCTTGAAATAAAGGAGTTATTTTCGTTATATCTGCATTTGGGTCCTGATTCCTGCACACCGTAACATTACAACCCGACCAAAATATGGGCCCAGCAGGTCCTTTTGAGCAGGAGCTATTGGAGTTTTCCTTTGCTTTGGATGACTGCTCGTATCGATGGTTGGGAGCGTCCAGGGTTCAGCAGCGAGAGGCTGTTCTGGCAGAGGCACGCCGGATTACGATGGAGAAGCCAGGCTTGGTTAAATTCTTATCGGGCAGGATTTTGGATTTTCTCACGGTGTGTTATCCCCTGCCTCACAGCCCCAGGCCTCCCAACTCCCGTTTGATACCACACGCATCGGTGTGGTCCGTCTGGCGTCAGCCCCTGCTTCTCACCCAGTGTTTGCTACAGTCCAGGAGCCATTCGCTGGTACTCGTCTGGCCCTTTGGAGGTCCACGGAGCCTCTAAACGGCTCCTAAAGGAAGGAGTCGCAAGGCCAGGTTGGCAGCACGAGCCCAAGGGGCCATGGTTCCAGAACCAGTTCAGCCTCCAGCAGCCATGGTTACAGACCCAGTTCTGGCCCCAGCAGCCATGGTCCTTGCTCCAGAACCGGTCCCGGCAGCCATGGATTCGGCTCCAGAGCCGGCCCATACAGCCATGTTTCCGGCTCCAGAACCGGACCTTACAGCCATGTTTCCGGCTTCAGAACCGGACCTTACAGCCAAGATTCTGGCTTCAATTCCGGCTCCAGAGCCGGCCCATTCAGCCCATGTTTCCGGCTCCAGAACCGGACCTTACAGCCATGTTTCCGGCTCCAGAACCGGACCTTACAGCCATGTTTCCGGCTCCAGAACCGGACCTTACAGCCATGTTTCCGGCTTCAGAACCGGACCTTACAGCCATGATTCTGGCTTCAATTCCGGCTCCAGAGCCGGTCCATTCAGCCATGTTTCCGGCTCCAGAACCGGACCTTACAGCCATGTTTCCGGCTCCAGAACCGGACCTTACAGCCATGATTCTGGCTCCAGAACCGGACCTTACAGCCATGATTCTGGCTTCAATTCCGGCCCCCGCAGCCATGGTTCCAGACCCAGCTCTGGCCCCAGCTCTGGCCCCAGCTCTGGCCCCAGCTCTGGCCCCAGCTCTGGCCCCAGCTCTGGCCCCAGCTCTGGCCCCGCTCTGGCCCCAGCTCTGGCCCCAGCTCTGGCCCCAGCTCTGGCCCCAGCTCTGGCCCCAGCTCTGGCCCCAGCTCTGGCCCCAGCTCTGGCCCCAGCTCTGGCCCCAGCTCTGGCCCCAGCTCTGGCCCCAGCTCTGGCCCCAGCTCTGGCCCCAGCTCTGGCCCAGCTCTGGCCCCAGCTCTGGCCCCAGCTCTGGCCCCAGCTCTGGCCCCAGCTCTGGCCCCAGCTCTGGCCCCAGCTCTGGCCCCAGCTCTGGCCCCAGCTCTGGCCCCAGCTCTGGCCCCAGCTCTGGCCCCAGCTCTGGCCCCAGCTCTGGCCCCAGCTCTGGCCCAGCTCTGGCCCCCAGCTCTGGCCCCAGCTCTGGCCCCAGCTCTGGCCCCCAGCTCTGGCCCCCAGCTCGGCCCAGCTCTGGCCCCAGCTCTGCCACCAGTCCCATCTCAAGTTTCCTCTCGAGTCCCCTCTCCAGTTTCTTCTCAAGTCCCCTCTCCAGTTCCCTCCCGAGTCCCCTCTCCAGTTTCCTCTCAAGTTCCTTCTCAAGTCCCCTCTCCAGTTTCCTCTCAAGTTCCTTCTCAAGTCCTTCCTCTAGTCCCCTCTCTGGTCCCTTCCCGAGTCCCTCCTCTAGTCAATTCCCTAGTCCCATCTCTAGTCCCTCCTCTAGTCCCCTCTCCAGTCCCCTCTCGAGTCCCTACTCAAGTCCCTCCTCTAGTCAATTCCCTAGTCCCATCTCTAGTCCCTCCTCTAGTCCCCTCTCGAGGTCCCACCTCTAGTCCCTCCTCGAGTCCCCTCTCTAGTTCCCCTCTCGAGTCCCCTTCTCTAGTCCTTTCCCTAGTCCCTCCTCAGGTCACTTCTCTAGTCCCATCTCCAGTTCCCTCTCGAGTTCCCTCTCCAGTTCCCTCCTTTAGTCCCTCCTCTAGTCCCTCCTTTAGTCCCCTCTCTAGTCCCTCCTCGAGTCCCCTCTCTAGTTCCCCTCGCGAGTCCCCTCTCTAGTTCCCCTCGCGAGTCCCTCCTCTAGTCCCCTCTCTAGTTCCCCTCTCGAGTCTCCTCTCGAGTCCCCTCTCGAGTCACGTCTCAAGTCCCTACCCAATGTCCTGGTCCGTTGGAGGTTCCGCTGGGGGTCCTGCCAACTCCATGTCCTGTCCCGTTGGAGGTCCCGTCGACTACTCCTCTGCCGGGGGTCCTACCAATCGTATGTCTGTCCCGTTGGAGGTCCCGCCGTCTACTCTCCTGCCGGGGGTCCTGCCAGCTCCTTGTCCTGTCTCGTTGGAGGTCTCGCCGACTACACTCCTGCCGGGGGGTCCTGCCAACCCTTTGTCCTGTGCCGTTGGAGGCCCCGCCGTCTACTCTCCTGCCGGGGGTCCTGCCAACCCTTTGTCCTGTCTCGTTGAAGGTCCCGCCGTCTACTCTCCTGTCGGGGGTCCTGCCAACCCTTTGTCCTGTGCCGTTGGAGGCCCCGCCGACTACTCTCCTGCCGGGGGTCCTGCCAACCCTTTGTCCTGTGCCCTTGGAGGTCCCGCCGTCTACTCTCCTGCCGGGGGTCCTGCCAGCTCCTTGTCCTGTCTCGTTGGAGGTCCCGCCGACTACTCTCCTGCCGGGGGTTCTGCCAACCCTTTGTCCTGTGCCGTTGGAGGCCCCGCCGACTACTCTCCTGCCGGGGGTCCTGCCAACCCTTTGTCCTGTCCCCTTGGAGGTCCCGCCGTCTACTCTCCTGCCGGGGGTCCTGCCAGCTCCTTGTGCTGTCTCGTTGGAGGTCCCACCGACTACTCTCCTGCCGGAGGTCCTGCCAACCCTTTGTCCTGTGCTGTTGGAGGCCCCGCCGACTACTCTCCTGCCGGGGGTCCTGCCAACCCTTTGTCCTGTCTCGTTGGAGGTCCCGCCGTCTACTCTCCTGCCGGGGGTCCTGCCAGCTCCTTGTCCTGTCTCGTTGGAGGTCCCACCGACTACTCTCCTGCCGGGGGTCCTGCCAACCCTTTGTCCTGTGCCTTTGGAGGCCCCGCCGACTGCTCTCCTGCAAATCCCGTGTCATGGTCCTCTTCCATGGGGGATCCTGCCGAGGCCTGTCCCACCAGCTCCGACACCGGGTCCTGCCCGGCCTCCGGCACTGTCCCGTCAGCGCCTTCCTGCCCGGTATTCGCCCTCAAGCCCGGCCCCCTGAGAGCCGCGGTCTTCACCCTCGAGCCCGGCCCCCTGAGAGCCGCGGTCTTCACCCTCGAGCCCGGCCCCCTGAGAGCCGCGGTCTTCGCCCTCGAGCCCGGCCCCCTGAGTGCCGCGGTCCTCGCCCTCGGGCCCGGCCCCCTGACTCTTCCTGCCGTTGCCTTCGCCCTCGGGCCCGGCCCCCTGACTCTTCCTGCCGCTACCTTCGCCCCTCCATGGTCCCCACCTTGGACTCTGTCTTGCCCCCGGGCCGTCCGCCCGAGTCCCCCTTTTTGGACTCTGCCTTGCCCCCGGGCCGTCCGCCCGAGACCCCTTCCTGGTCCTCTGCCTTGCCCCCGGGCCGTCCGCCCGACTTCCCCTTTTTGGACTCTGCCTTGCCCCCGGGCCGTCCGCCCGAGACCCCTTCCTGGTCCTCTGCCGTGCCCCTGGGCGGTCAGTTCAGTCCCGTCCTCCTGACCCCCTCCACCCACCCTGGTGGCTTAGTGATGCGTCCCTCCTCCGGACCCCCTCCGGACCCCCTCCATCCACCCTGCTTGAGGTTTTGGACTTTTTTTTGTTTTGGGATGTCTGGGATCCGTCCCTTGAGGGGGGTGGTACTGTTAGGATCTGTCTGTGTTAGTGTTTTTCTTGTCTTTTTCTATCTTTGGGTTTCCTGTTTTATTTTGTAAAGTGTTCACCCCCGTTTCCTGCCTGTTTGCTTTCTGTCTGTTTCCCTCTCTGATTACCCGATTGTGTTCACCTGGTGCCTCTGTGTTTTCTCCTCCCTCCTCACCTGTCTCGTGTTTATGTGATTAGTCCTGGGTGTATTTAAGTTCTGGGTTTTCTGTCTCTCTTTGTCGGGTTGTCTTGT